ATTCAGTGAAAGGTTGTTGCGATGCTGCGGGGAGCCGTAGTACTCACTATTCAGTGAGAGGTCGTTGTGATACTGCGGGGAGCCGTAGTATCCACTAGTCAGCGAGAGAATGTTGTGATGAAGTACTCTCTGATCAGAGCATGACGCAGAAGAGTTTTAGGCTTGGGTAGCCCTAATATTTGAGTTTGTGGGAGTCTGGTGGTCGAACCAGGGGTGAGACTGGGGTCTCCATATATGTCGGGAGTCGTTATATCCTGAATTGAGTAGTGGTTGTCGCAGCAAAGGGAAGTAGATAAGTGGGGTACACATGGGTTGCGAGTCATGAGACATGAGTTGAGTGGTTCATTGGGACGAGTGGTTCCAACTCTGGGTCAGACCAAACTCTCGAGTTGGAGATTGGCTCTGGTAGTGCGTCGGGTAGGCGAGATGAGATTCCAGATTCATAGATGAGTTCCATGTTGAAGGATATTGGTTGTCATCTGGTGTATTAGACCAGTGTAGGTCAGTGCTTGGTTCGGGAGGTACCGCGAGATGCATGGAACTAATGAGCCATATACGACAAAGGTCAGGGGTGAGCCGATCTTCAGTGGGGATTTTAGTATTCGCTTGGGATAGCGAGAATTTTGTGACTGGTGTGTCACAATGGACCGAGATAGTTGTTAAGAGGGGGAAGGCGGCGAGACGTTTTGAGACATGTAGTGGTTAACCTTTGGAGGTCCGACTGTAGGGTCGAGAGTAGACTAGGTGCTAAATGATAAAAGAGATATATGTGAGAAAGTGAAGGATTACGATTTTAGAGGTTGAGGACTTCCGAGCAAGCATGATTATTTCTCTTGTGTCTGAGATCAGGGTGATGAGAGTTTATTGTTCGGATGGGTTCTGATTATAGTTCAGTGGATGAGCCCCTGGTGGTATGTGAGCCCTTTCGTTCCTTGGGGCGTGATTCGGATCGTTTGGTATGAGTGATCGGTCACCGATTTTTGGACTTTGTTTTGTGTGAATCAGTAGAGCAGTGAGTTATCAGGGTTGGTGTTCGAGGAGCATATATCATGGTGATAGCTTGATAGGGCGGTCTGGCGGCGGGCCAGGCCACTAGAGTTTCAAGATTTTGGGAATGTCAGAAAGGGGTAACTTAGAGGCAGAAGGGTTGGTTTGGTTATGGACTTGGGAATTTCTGTGTGGATTCAGGTGTCCATGGAAAAAGATATCGATGTGGTAAGAGATCCTTTCGGTAGTGCTTTACGGGTTGTTGGATTCAATCTATATGTGATTAAGGAGCGATTTCGAGGGCGAAATCAAATTCAAGTGGGGGAGAATTGAAACATCCTGATTTCTGAGGTATAACATTTCTATATGTGAGTATGAGTTTGCCTGGGGTGACTCGACGAGTTGGTGCCTCCACTCGTCGAGTAGGGTCGCGTCTGGGTGATGTGGAAAATGAATGGACTCGACGAGTCGGAGGGATGACTCGCCGAGTCAGCGCTGTTGGCAGAAACCCTAATTCTTTCGGGTCTGGACCTATTTAAAGGCACTTAAGGCCACCTATTGCGGCTACCCTTCAAAGGAGAGAACCCTAAACGAGTACTGAGTGCTTTGGGCAAGAAAGAGAGCCATGTTGAGCTTCTTGGTTGGTGTCTTGCAAGGAAGAGGAAGGTTTCAAGCCAAAAGGGGCCAGAGGAGGTTGTAGATCCGCGATTTGCAACCAAGGAGCATCAGTTGGAGGTATCAATTCGGACCCCTTTCTTCCCTATTTGAGTAGATCTTTCTTTTGTGGATTAGGGCTTGTATTACCTTCTTGGTGGGGTTTTGAATGCATCAAACCCCTCTTATGAGCTGATAGCATAGATCTGGACCTTGGAGGGTCCAGAGAGTCCGAAAGTGGGAAGCCATGGTGGAGAAACCATTGGGCTTTGAAGCTAGGAACCATTAATGGAGTTTTTATGGTTTATAATGCAAAATACACCATGCATGGACATCAAGGTCGGACCTTTACGCGACTTTTGGGTAGTAGGAGGTTAGATCTATGAGTTAGAGCTACAGATCTGACCTCAGGTGGCTGAGTGAGTAACCCAATGGAGCCAACTCGCCGAGTCCATGGGATGACTCGACGAGTTGTAGCGGGTGTGACCCAGTAGCCTTGGCCAGTGTTGACTCATCGAGTTGGGAGTCAACTCAGTGAGCTGAGCGAACCCTAGGAAGATCATGGAGAATTCGAGGGGACTCGGCGAATCACAGGTGTGCACTCGGCGAGTCAGGTCAACATAGAATGTTGACCCAGGTTGACTTATGTTGACTTCATGAGTGGACCAGTAAGGGGACAGGTGGGGCCAAGGAGGGGTAAAATGGTCTTTTACCCATCCTGAGGGTCAAAAGAGGAAAAGAGGATTTAAAGTATAAAGAGTAATAAGGCGGATAATGTTGAGATGCTTGTCTTATGTGTTAGGCGGAGGCTAGTCCAAGAGTTCTGAGTGCTTGTGGGTTACCTGCTAACCGAGGTGAGTCTTCTCACTATACTTTACCTAGAGTGGTAATTATGTGTGACCGGAAGCTCTTATGTGGTTATAAGGGTTATGAGATGTATGTTATCTATGTGATATGTATATGCTATGTCCTGAGCTTGTAGAGTTTGGACCGGAAGGTCAACAGAGTTTGATGTATGTTATCTATGTGATACGTATATGCTATGTCCCGAGCTTGCAGAGTTGGACCGGAAGGTCAACAGAGTTTGGACCGGAAGGTCAACAGAGTAGGACTGGAAGGTCTACAGAGTTAGGACCGGAAGGTCATCATGGGTAGGACCGGAAGGTCTACCAGAGTTGTGGGACCGGAAGGTCCCACTGAGACACATTGACCGGAAGGTCTTACAGAGTTATAGCCTTGAGTGGCTAATATGTGTATGTGGTATTTTGGGGAACTCACTAAGCTTTGTGCTTACCGTGTTATGTGTTATGTGTTTCAGGTTTCTCAGGATCGCGGGACGGCACCGGCTTGATTGTACACACCAGAGAAAGAGATATGTTTTGAGGATCCTAGTTTATTAATGGAGTTGTGTTTTGTAATTTGAATAAACGAGATTTTTATACAATATGTTATGAAAAGTATGCGATTTTAAAGTGAAAAAAATTTGTTTGAAAATTTACGTCGTTACATTTATCAAGCTAGAGACAAGCTTTTATGCATTAGACCCCATATAGAGCTTATTATGGCATTTTGAGCCCTAGATGCCATGCATGGACGTAAAGCTTGCAGCTTTACGTGGTATTTCAGCCTTGGGAGGCTAGATCTAGAGTTTGGGACATTATTTCTGCTTAGAATCGTCGAAATGAGAATTGGTCTAGAGGGACTCGACGAGTACATGAGCCAACTCGACGAGTCAGCAAGGGTTTCCCCGATAGTCTGAACGCGCTACAACTCTGCGAGTTGGTGAGACAACTCGACGAGTTGAGTTGGGGTTTTCCCGATTTTCCTGAGGACATGGGAGCTCGACGAGTCACATAGGTGCACTCGCCGCGTTGACTTTTAGGGTTTGGTCAATAGTGGATTTTGGAGACCATGGAGGGGTAAAATGGTCTTTTCACCCTTTTGAGACCTAGTGGTAAAGTTAGCTTGGGGGTTATTACAAATTGTTGATTGGAGATAGTTATATTATGTAGGCGGAGTCTAGACTGTTCGTGGGGTGCTAGATCTACTTGCTTACTTACAAGGTGAGTCTTCTCACTATACTTACCTGAGTGATAATACTGAGTGATCGGAGGGTCTTATATGCTTATACTGAGTTATGTGATTCTGTGTATTTGTCTTTGTGATATATGTTGTATGTTATCTTGTGCTTTATTGGTTAGGACTGGAGGGTCCAACCCGAGTTGTGAGACCGGAGGGTCTTCACTGAGACACATGACCGGAGGGTCCTTATCGAGATATAGCCATGAGAGACTAATTATTGTGTGTGGTATTTTGGGGAACTCACTAAGCTTCGTGCTTACAGTGTTGTGTGATATGTGTTTCAGGCACTTCTCAGGATCGCGGGAAGGCGCCGACTTGATTGTACACACGAGATGGAGTTTATGATTTTGAGGATCCTGGATATTATCAAACAATTTATGAATTTGTGTTTTTGACAATTTGACAATTGTGGTTTTTGAAATGTGATATTGAGAATTATGTGGTTTTGAAAATGAAAATTTTGTTTGAAAACTTACGGTGTTACAATATTATTGTTGGTTTTATATTATAGTAGTGTATCATTTTTATGTAACAAATTTGTATTTTAAAAAAAATACGTCTTACTATAATAACATGATTATAAATAATAATAATAAATATATATAACTAGAAAAACTGAAAATGCGATAATATAGCTTGAGAAAAATTTCAATATATGATATGCTCATTATAAATAAAAACAATATGTAACAAAAATAAACAAAAATATAATGTTACAATATACATATACATAAAATAAAATATACTTTTACTCTTACATTAAACCCATTAAAACCCCCAACTCCAAATTATAGGTCCTTGTTTAATGTTTTCTCTATATTGGATCAACTAGTATTATTTTTGCAGAAGAATCATTTTGGCAATATTTTGCTGTAGCTTTAGTTCATGTCGAAATTGAAATGAGTGTTTGTTAGACACGACACTTCAATACACCAACACACGTTTTTCATATATGGGTTTTGAAAATTTATGTTCTGAGTTTATTCGTGTCGACTAGTATTTCAAATTCGTATTTCGTATCTTATACGGGTCAAACACGAATTTACCTGTTTAAACACATACAAGACACAGATAAAATTTGTCTGACACACAAACCGTATAAACCGTAAAAGACACGAATTAATATCTTTTAACATGTTAGTTTTCGCTTCATGTACTATACTTTAATATAAACTCATGTAAATTTGTTTTTTTATATAATATAGTTACAAACGTGTTATTATTCGTGTCGTGATGGCGTCAAGTGTAATATATATGATCAGTTATGAGCATGAGAGACAATCAAACAACTATTTACTGACATATTTTGAAGTTCTATTACCAAACATCACATGATACAACAACTGTATGCCCCTACTCTCACCAAACAAACTACACCAGAGTTAAAGAGTACCAAAATATCATCTTTAATCACGATTCTGAAGGAGATATTTCTGATTCATCAAGTTCATTATCATCAACTTCTGAGACCTCATTTGCATCCACTTGAGATTCATCTGAATTTGACTCTGTAGTTTCATTCACCTCTTTCTTATTATAATTCTCAGGGGGTTCTCTAAGATTTTGTGACCAGATTTTAACACGTTTTCCTTTAATATATCTGTACTCCCATTTTGGTGGCGGGTATTTCTTCTTCAGCTTTTGGTACTTGTCCATCATCCCTAATTTTTGGAACACCTCTCCCACCATATTAACTATCGATACAGTTGGTCGGATTCCAAGCTCTTCCATGTCAGCAAAAACCTAATTCCAAATTAATGTAACAAAACAAAATAGTCATAGTTTAAACACTACCTTAGTATGTTCTAAATTAATGATCCAAATATGATTACAACTATAGAGAGAGAGAAGAAAATTACCTCAAACATCTTGTCATGCAATTCCCGGCGAAAATAAATAGAAATCATTCTATCAAAGAATATTCGAGGCATACTTTCTAAATTATCAGAAAATAACCTTGTCCATAGCTCTTCAGCTTCATCGATTCTTCCATCTTCTGCTAAAGCATATAGTAACAAATAATAGCTCCCCATTGTTCTTCCTTGACCTTTACTCAGCATCCACTTGGTCACCTTTAACCCAAGGAAAGGATCTAACAAATTACTTGAAAGGAAACAACAAAATCTTTTTTTTTTTTGAAGTTATAACTTTGTACCTGAATTATTCTTTTCCATTCCTTCTCGCGTTCGAGTGTTTTTAAAGCCTTTTTCACTGTGATTAAAGGAAATTCCAAATCCCATGCAATGAAAGAATCAAGAGCCCCATAGACTTCCTCTTTGACATTTGATAATTCCTTTATCTGATACACAATGGTGTTGATATTATACAAGTATTTATTGTGAAACTAACAATCAGATTGAGAAAAATAACTTACACATTCAACAAGTTTCAATGATTTGGAAACGGTTCCTATTTTTGGTTTGACTTTCCAGACTCGTGGATATCTTGGTCGAGGGCCTTTAGCTGCACATACCTGAAAATTGTGACAAATGATGTGAAAAGGAGGCAAGAGAATGAAGTGGTTAAAAGTACCAACTGTAAAAATTCATACTCAATTCAAATTGATTTAACATCGAACTTCAATTGGTAACCCCTAACCTTACTTAGGTGGCCAACCACAGGGAATTAATGGCAATTCATAAAGAAAGACTGCATATTTTTTGAGATGAAGTTAAATAATTGTAGCTAAAAAAAACCTAATTTTTAGGGTAAATATAAATTACCAACCTAACTCTTAATCCCTTTGTATTATATTTGTTCTATCTAATCACTGATTTTGATTTTAAGCATTACAATAATCAAATCTAGAACGCACGTCCAAATAGCCCTATAATTCCATGCCAAAGTAGTGGATAGGAATGAGGCTTACCACACAGTTGCTAGCTTTCTTTGGGAATTTAAGGAATGGCAATCTTCCGATGAAATCCGGTGGAGAATAATACCTCAACATAAGCATCCTATCAAGAAAACTGAAAGAAAAAGTAATTACAACTCCATATCCGGGCAAAGTTGAAAGCAAGGATATGCATAATTTAGATTCTTGAGTTCAATTCAAAAAAAAAAATTATAGAGAAACATTGAGAGTAAACTCGTAGGCAAAATACCAAACACCTTATGTGCATACATATATAAAGCACATCAGACGCTCTAATACTCTGTTATCACTTATCAGGCGAAGACTCAAATTGAGTCCTAAAATCCTAGAATACTGGAAGTACTCGAATTGTACGTAGATATACCTCCGAACGGTGGGATGCAGAGTTTCACAAGGTAAGCATTGAAGTAGTGACCAGAACAGATTTATTGCGATTCGGGTGATGAGTTCTGTAGTCGTATATTTTAGAGGATAAACGCGCGAGAAAGAAAGCTAAGATTTTCCCTGGTTTCGCTGGAGATTGTATAGGGTTCCTTAGAATTGGGAGGTTATTTTCTTTTTGGGTAGGGTGTGTTTTTCCAGGCCTCGTTTGTTTTTCTAAAAAGTACTTCTTGAGGACTTTTTCCTTACGTTTCGTAATTGCACGTCTTCTTCCGCAAACATGGAAAAAGACAAAAGACATTTAACCACTTCTAAAAGAAACAACACCTTAGATTATATAGGCAAATCACCAAGCATAGAAATTTATTTATGGATAAATGGTAACCATATTTATCGAAACTAGCACGTGGCTATAAGTTAGAAATTGTAGTTTTTTTAATGAAATTATTCAATAAAAAGTATTGTATATTTTGAAATATATACATTAAATTTTTTTCCAAAAGTCACTTAAAATAGTTTTAGGATTATGAGTTTTTCATATATAGTAAGAACTTTAAGTTCGTACTAGCAAAGAAACCACAAGGTGAAGCTCAAATCGTTGAATTGTCAACCGATTGATTGAGTCAATGCAGACACTCCATAATTAAGACATGCAACTAAGGGGCTGTTTGTTTTTTTTGTGAAGATCTGCGCAATCACTTTTGTCTGCGCCGCGCAGACAACGCACAGACATATGCTCTCGCAGAGTGTTTGTTTTTTGGAAGTGCGCAGATCAAAAAACGTCTGCGCGAGGTCTTTCTGGCGCAGACATGGACCACTGTCTTCAAAGGTCTTCAGACCCCACTTTAACCTAAACCAAAAAAAATACATGGGCCACCGTGCAATTTTTTTTTTTTTTTTTTTTTGCTGAAATGCATTTTTAATGTTTATGATATGAAATTAAGTTTGAAAAATCAATTTATTTCAACAGCTACAGACGTTAAAAACAAACAGTCTTCTTATTGCAGACTGCAGACATTTGATCCACCTCTTCTGCCGCAGAGGCTTGCAGATGTGGTCCGCAGACTGCAGACATTTTGGCTTCAAAAAAACAAACAGCACCTAAGACAATGAGTTGGAAGAGTAAAATGGAGAATTGAACATGATGGATCGGAAATCTATGAGATTTAGCTTTTGTTTGTGATGATTAAGGGTTCAATGGAGATGAAGTTTTTGGCATAGTAGTATATATCTATTAGAAAATTGTTGTTAAACCAAAAAGTTGGAGGTTAAATTCCTATGATGGACAAATGTTTGGATTTAAGAATATGAGAGGGATTGTGGACAAATGTTTAGATTTAAGAATATGATTAGGATTGTGTCTTATAGCCATTATAATATCAAATGAGAAGTCGGTAGATATAATCATAATTGTTAGAAATATATAATCTCACAAAATTCAAAAGGTATAATTAAGTTGTATAAATTTTCAAACCATTAGCTTTTAGAAATGATTTGATTTTTGTGCTTCCTTTTTAAATTTCAATTTTCCTGTGTCGCGGTAGGTTTTTTGGTCTTTTTGCATCCCCAAATAGAATATTCGTAAACAAAAGACACCCATCCTCCTTACGGAAAAAGAACTTTTTTTATATAATCGGATAAAACTGAACCACAATAAAAGAACTCTCCCGTCGACAACGACGATTACGGAATCTTTCTTTCACCGATCTCCAATCGAACACGGAAATGCTGGCAATTGAACCGGCAATCTCCTTCCGTATCCCCGCCGGCCGTTTTGCTCGTGATTGCCGCCTCCTCTCTCACTCCCGCAGCTTCGTCATTCCTTGGTATCGATTTCGTACAAATTAAGCTTTTTTGCTTTATCTTTTGCTGGAAGTAAATTATTTTATTGTCTCTTATAAGCTTTTAAATCTATCTGATTTTGGTTATCAGCTGGTAAATGTTGAACATGAGCTTAGCTTGAGCTAATAAATGAACGAGCTTACTAAATTAACGAAAGCTAGAGGATTTTGGGGATAACAGTATTGAAAAGTGTGTTTTGCATTGGTTTTTTTGTCAGCAACAAGATTACGAGAAGGAACAATTTTACGAAGAACATAATTAGAGCTTCGGCGGAGGAGCTTTCAGGTCCAGTGAAACAAGCGAAGCCACAACGGTATCATCCGTCTGAGGACATTTCGGATTCTGAAGAATCGGATGAGAATGGAGACGCTATACTTGGACCTGCTGAAACTAGCAGGACTGTTATTGAGGTAATTCTACCAATATTTTGTTGAAATTTGAAAAGCAGCTTAATTTGGAAGCATATGTAGTTAGATCTTTGTTAGAGAAACTCAAGTGTTAGGATCGAAAATCCCATCCGCCTCCATCTAGAAACATGTGTGGTAACTTGTAAAATAGAACATTTTTTTGATCATCCCTGCACTGAAGATATCCCATCACATATGAATGTATGATATTGATTGCGAACATGTCATTTTGTCAGGTAAACAGCAAAGCAATGCTTATGTTCTCAGGTCTGATAGGTGATGGAGGCCATGAGAATATCTTCTGGCCAGATTTGCCTTATGTAACTGATGAACATGGAAGTAAGTCACACTGTCAATATCCCCCTATCATACTTGATAATGTTAACCAATCTTTGTACTAAATTACCTGTTATAAATGCCTCTCAGATATATATTTCCGAGTGAAAAACGATGAAGACATTCTTCAAACTCTTACTTCCGAGGATACCCTTGTAGTAAGAAACTTGAATTCAAGGATTTAGATTTTCACTTAAGACTGTTGAATTGAATCCAATTTCAAGTTAATTATCGAATCAAACTCAATGCAGCAAGTCATAATAGGCTTAGATACAACTGAAATGGTGAGTGAGATGGAGTTGATAGGTCAATTAGAGTCTGATTTCGATATGGAGGAAATTGATGATGAAGATAGTGGATCTGATGATGATGATGATGATGACAATGATGAGGATGAAGATGATGACAGTGGTGGATATGAAAATGTGATTGTTTCATTTCTTTATTTGTTTTTCTCTCACATCAAAAACGGTTACTATAATCGTTATTTATCATGCCTACATTTCATAGGAATGGGTTTCGCTTCTAGAAGATGAGGAAGATGACGAGGATTCTGATGGATCCCTTGGTGACTGGGCAAAATTGGAAACCATGCGGTCGTCCCATCCTATGCATTTTGCTAAACAGATGGCAGAGGTAAGAATTAGTTCAATCAGGGGTTGTTTTGTTTGTACTTTAAAAGGCTTTATGGCTTTAACGAAAATTGATGTTTTTGAGTAAATTCCTTTCTCAGTTTGTATTCGATGATCCGGTTGACTACATGGACCAACCTCCAGCTGGTCTTGCGATTCAAGGGCTTCTAAGATCTGCATTTGTTGAAGATAATTCTGTCATCAACAAACAGATTTTTGATGACCAATCTAACAATGAAGAAGAAAATCAAATCTCAGAAGAAGAAGAAGATTTAGGTGTTGTGAATGGCCATAGGCATTCATCTCAAGATGATTTGAATGCAGAAGAGGAATTACAGAAAGATCAAGTCTCAGGAAATGGGACTTCATACTATAAGCTAGAGATGGTCAAAATCCATTTGATCTCAGCACATGGGAATCAGGTATTTTGGGATATTGATATTACATATTTGGTCCTTGAGTATAGATGTTTTTCTTTTTCAGTTTTGGTCTCTTAACGTTGTCTTGCAATGTTGGTCCTTATTTGAGGTTTTTATGACATTTTTAGTCCCTATTCCAAGTAAGATGACAATTTGCGAAAATTCGGGGACCAAAAATCTCCAAATAACTTGAAACAGGGACCAAAAACATTATAAGAGAACCTCAATAAGGACCAAAATTGCAAAAACCAGCTATACTTAGGGCCAAAAATGTACATAATATTGATGTATACATAATATAAAATATGTTTTACAGACTTTTGTTGAAGTGGAAGATTTTAGAAGGGCTCGACCCGATGCTATTGCACATTCAGCTGCAAAAATCATATCTCGTCTCAAATCTGGTGGAGAAAAGACAACAATAGCCCTTAAATCGTTGTGTTGGCGATGTAAGGGTATTCAAGTGGAGGTAACACATACTTACTTCATCTTTAAACATTCTAAAAGATTCTTTATAATAATTGTTGTGTGTGAGGAAGATGATAATGTGTGTTGTATTGCAACTAATGACAGGAGGTAGCTGTTATTGGCGTTGACAGTTTGGGATTCGATGTAAGAGTTTGTTCTGGAAGACAAGTTCAAACATTGCGCTTTGCATTTAAAAAGAAGGTAAATTACCAACTTCTCCTAAATTTAAGTTATAAAAAAGAACTAAATGTTTCTAAATATATGTAGCAAAAAAAAAAAAAAAAAAAAAGTTCATTGTTACTTTTGGTCTAGTTAAGTAGATACATGTGAAACACCAGTACAACTTGTGTCTTGTTATGCAGGCCTCTTCGGAGTACAGTGCAGAGAGACAGTTGAATAATCTACTATTTCCAAGAATCCCAGGCAAGCAACAGAAGCAGAAAGAAGCACATCAAACAGAACTCTAATAAAAATTGTAGGCAAACCTTTGTGCTTATTGTGTACATAGCAAGCCATTTTTTGCTGCTTGTTTTCATCATTCTTTATAATCTACAAGATTGTAAGCCAACACTTTAACAATCATCTAATTTTATTGTATTATTGTTGTATCATGTCATAATTTATTTGGTTGTTATGGTCTCGTATACTAATTGAGCACTCAACAGATCTACAACGGCTGACCCAACTGATACAAACAAAGTAATCTCGTTTTCCTCTTTTCTCCCAATCTTCTCCCCTTTAATCAACCCTACCAGATCACCTGCAACTTCATCTTCCTTCATCACGCCTCTCTCAAACGCTCCCACCAACTCTCCGGCTTCCACCAACGCCGCTTCATTGTCCACAAAAACCCTACCTCTCTTCACAGCTTCATCATCACATTCCATCATCGACGGCTTATACGACCCAACCAGATCCAAATGCGCCCCCGCCTTCAACCACTTCCCTAAAACCAGCGGCGTCTCGGAATTCGTCGCACAGCTCACTATATCCGCCATTGCCGCCGCCGGAGCTATATCTTCACAAACTTCAAACCGTACGCCTTCCATTCCGCTTTCCTTCCCGATTTCTTCCACCAGTTTTTCCGATTTTTGTGAAGTTCGGTTCCAGATCATGACATGATTGATGCTCGGGCGTGTTGTTAGGTGAGCTTTGATCAAGTGCGGAGCTAACGATCCGGCGCCGACAGATAGCAAAACTCGAGAGTTTTTGTTGGAGAGATAGTGTGAGGCGACGGCGGAGACACATGCTGTACGGCGGAGAGTGAGTTCGGTTCCGTCCATTGATGCTAGGGTTTCGCCGGTGACGGAGTTGAAGAGGACGTAACTGGCATGGACTCCAGGTAGGTTTAGGGCGGAGTTGTTGGGATGGGTTGTGACTAGTTTGACGCCGATGTAGGGGAGGGTCGTTGAGGAGAGAGACCATGAGGGCATGAGGAGGAGGGTGGATGACGAGGACGTTTGGTGCGAATGGCGAATCGGGGATTGGATTACGGAGGAGGCGGCAGCGAGAGATGTTTGGAGGTGGTTAATTAGGGATCGGTAGGGGAGAACTGACCGGATTGTCGGTGCGTCGATGAAGATTGGCGATCTGCCGGCGGAGGGACTGAGATTGCCGATCATGGTCGCCATTGACGATAGAGCTAACAACTAACTAACACAGCATTCGTATTTGTAGAGAAAGTACCCATAAGCATAGGTTGACTTGTGGATTATTTTGGAGTCAATAGTCGCCGTTCATTTCCATGCATATGAGAAACAAAAATAATAATGATAAAGAGACGTTAATTTTAGCCTTTTTAGGGCTAAGTAAAATGAATATTTATCATAACGAAAACAAATCTACCTTTAAAAACTTATATTATGGTTTTGAAAAATAAATGGCCTATCGACATTTCTTAATTAAATTTTAGATAATATAATTATATAACATTACTTTCCTTTTTGAGCTCTAGTTGGGAGTCCCAACTGTAATCGAGCAATTAATTTTTTATCTTAATTATTAAGTTTGAGTTTGTGTACAAATATGAGAAACCTGTAACGAATCGAATCGAGTTCTAACTTAAAAAAGGTTGCCTTCGATTCTTATTCTTTTTTTCAAACACTATACATGCATCTGTTGATGGAGCTTGAATTCAACTTGAATTATTGAATATATATTTTATAGATAATTTCAAAGTATTTGAATTATTTCTATTGATCATTAGTTATTTTCTTTGTTTAAAATGACAAAATTTTATTAAAAATGGATAATGCACTTAAAGGGTAACATAGTTTAAATTGTATATACATTTAGTCATTTATGTTTTTTATTTTGTACATATATGATCATTACGTTTGATGATCATATATGTACAAAGACAAAAATATAAGTGACTAAACGTGTATAAAAAACATAAATGATTAAATATGTACAAAAATAAACATAAATGACTAAATATGTACACAATCTAAACTATGTTATCCTTTGAGTGTATTATCCCTATTAAAAACCAAAGAAAACACCAAAGAGAAAAGAAAACACCCTCCAACTAAGTTTTCACCACTCCAGAGCAATACAGAGAAGAGAACCAAAGTAACCAATCTTCATAAGAAGAAATGTGATCCTCAAGGCTCCACCATCTAAATAACTGCACCTGAAGCTCCATAGAAAACTGACAAGAAAAAAACAATGGTTATTGTTTTCAATATACGTATCACATAAAGGGCATTGCAAGGAAGGAACATCCAAACCCCTAAAATCAAGGTTATACCGAGTGGGAAGCTTATCAAGAGACAAATACCACACAAACACATTAACCTTGATAGGCACCAAGTTACACCAAGTAGTCGAGGACGTAGAAACCGGGAGAGAATTCTCATCCAGGACCTTGTCGACGCCACAAAAAACTCCCTCACTCCAGATAGAGACCATACCCACCTATCACAAGCAGCCAACAAGGAAATCGAGCCAAGAAACTCTACAAAACCCTCCCATTGGAGGCTCCCCCCCCCCCCCCCCCAAAGAGACTCACGAAAAGAATCAAGTAAAGACGCTTGCTCCATTTTAGCTTGAATTGTCACATGCTTGTCCAACTCTAGATTAAAAAGTCTCGGGAATTGACTTTTTAAAGAAGACCCTCCTATCCAAAATGTCGTCCCATAAAGAAGTTAAGGAGCCATTTTCCAATTTTCTTATTACAAAACTATAACAAATTAAAGCCCTTATCTCTCAACTGAAACACGGATCTTAAAATATCAATCTAAATAGAACTCCTCCTCGAGGGAAAAAGACTATCAATATACGCCTTATCACCATGAATAGGCTTAACAACTTCCACCCAAAGTGAAAAAGGATTAGTAAAAACCGCCAAACCCACTTGAACAGAACAGCTCTATTTAAAGCAAAAATATTACTAACACCCAAACCTCCATGTTTTTTCTAAGCTAAGACTTTTTTCCAACTAGTCCAAGCCATCTTTTTTTCTTCCAGATCAACACCAATGAAGAATTTGTTACGCATAACTTCCAAAGGGTTCAAGATACTAATAAGAACATTATAGAAACACATAGAAATAATAGGAAGAGAACCCAACACTGACTTAATCAAAGTCAATCTACCAGTCACATAAAGGGTTTTAACTTTGTAATTGGAAAGTTTAGCCACCGCTTTCAAAATAATCTCTTTCTAACCTGAGAGCCGATTCATATTACCTCGCACTGTGTAACATCCCAAAATTCAAAACCAAAAATTTTATTTTTAATTAAGTTATTATAAAACCAACAATATAAAAACATTCATAATATGATAATAATATCCTATGCCAAAACTCAAGTGTCAATAATCAAAACATGTTATCATAAAAAAATATCATAGTGTAATCCCAAAGATCTCATGTGCGGAAAATCATAGTGTGATGCGCTGCGATCGAGTCGGCTCCTTTCCTTTGAAAACGAAGTACCTGAAACCAAAACTGTAAATCGTAAGCACGAAGCTTAGTGAGTTCCCCCATCATACCACATACTATACTATAAATATACTGTCAAGCATATCTAGGTGCCCGACCTACCCTGCTGAGCATACCGGGGTGCTCAAACTACCCCTACTAGGCATACCGGGGTGCCTAACCTACCCATGTCAGACATATCGGGGTGTCTGACCTACCCCTCCGGTTTATCTCAACCTGTTACGGGGACTATTTCACCCCCTACTGCTACCACATAGCAACATAACATAAACATACTGTCAGGCATACCGGGGTTCCCGACCTACCCCTTTGGTCCTTTCGACTGATACGGGGACTATTCCCCCTACTACCACTACCACATAACATCATACCACACTAGCACATAAACATAACAGATAGTGTCATACCATACAATCATCTAACAAACAACTACTACCACTACCACATAACATCATACCACACTAGCACATAAACATAACAGATAACCCATTTTTCCAATTTGGGCCCAAACCCTTACACATGCCTTATTCTAAAGCCCAATGACTTATTCCTAATCCAAAATATATGTCCATAGTTGATCCAACAAAATCCGTGCACTTGTAGGCCCATAAGAAAGCCCAAAACCATTGGACCCACCAAGGCCCAATATAACCCTTGGCCCAAAAAGGCACGTTAAATCCAAAGTCCAAGACTGTAACATTTTCCTGACCAGAAAGTACAACACACAAGGTCCAAACCCAGTCTGCAGCCCAAACACAACAAGCCCGAAGGCCCACTGACTGATGAACGTGGGGCGTACCTCTTTGGTACGCTCAGCGTACTATATGATACAGATCGGGGCCTCAAGTAAGTACGCGGGGCGTACGTGAATCTACGTGGGGCGTACGTGTTGTTTCCTCAAGATTCATATTAGGACTTAATCCGTTAAGTCCTTTGCGTCCAAACTTCCAGGGAACCTCAAATAAGGCTCTTGATGCATAAAGTCGACACCTTTATGCATTTGCATGACTCAAAGGGACCCACTGACCAACTTAACCCCATAATACCCATCTAGAACATGCATGAATGGTTTCTAGCCTCCAAGATGACAACTTTATTGACTTATAACCTCTGAAATGCTAAGAGTAGCAACTCAAAGCTTCTGAAGTGGTGTCTAACCACTAGATCTTGCTCATGAGGCCAAAAAGGGACCAAAAACTCACATATTCATAACAGCAACTTCTAGTGATCAAGCTCATAACTTTTTACCTTCTTTGAGCTGAAAATGTAGCAAGAAGTCCAGATCCACAAGTTTTCCCTTAAACTCCCACCTTGTAATGAGCTTCCACTTCTTTAAATGCACCAAAAACCACTCAAAATGCACCCACAAAGCTCACAATACTCTTGGATGAAGCTACCACTCAAAATTAGGGTTTAAGGCTCTGAGAATGAAAGAGAGGCGCACCCCCTTTGACTTAAGGTGCTTTAAATAGTGAGCCAACCCTAAAAAATTAGAGTTTTGGAGATCCTGGACGTACGTTGTGCGTACTCCCTGTACGATGGGCGTACGTCATTCGCACCCGCGTTTCACTTATCCAGCACTACGTTGGGCGTACCCCCAGCTTACGCTAGGCGTACTCACTTGTTTGCCACCTTTGCATGCATGGGCTGATTTGCCAAGTATCTCCATTAGGGACCAAAATTGCCAATAATTTCAAAGTGCCATAACTTCCTCATCTGAGGTCCGTTTCCAACGAACCTTATATCCACGAAAAGGTGGCGAGAAGTCCTACGCTCCTAACCACACACCCGAGCCTAAAGACCTTCCGAATAAGACTCAAAACACGAGATATCCATTTAAAGTCGTACCCTTGGCTCCCGAAGACACAATCTGATATATGGATCACTTGAATCATAGAAACAACATCCGAAATGGCTAACCCTTCCTTTCCCAAAGCTTTAATCCCCATGGCAGCTGATGATTGAGCCGCATCCCCAATTAATAAGGCAAATCTAAAACCGGGTGTTACACAATGATTAAACCAATGTGAGGAAAAGGAGTGTAACACCCATTACCAGGTACTTTCTTTTTCAGCCCTTCATGTTGTTTTAATTGTAGTTTGGCCACTTACGTTGGGCGTATTAGCCTTATATGCCGGGCGTAAGTCATCGAATGAGTCAAGGCGGAGGAGGGAGTATGTTGGGCGTATTTGTGAGTACGTTGGGCGTACTCACACAGTTCCTAAACCCTAAATTTTAGGGTTGTGGCCCCGATTTAATCACCTTATGCCCCTTTAGACATCCTCTGATCCAACCTCTATTCCCTCTAAACCCTAGAACGAAACCCTAGCTTGTGTATGAGAGATTTGAAGCTTGGAAAGTGATTCTTGATTGTTTGGTGCTAGAAGGAAGATCATTCAAGAGGTGGTGGTGCATTCTAGCTTGTAGATCCAGAAACTTCATCTTCTTGTGCACCTTTTCAAGGTATAAAGTTCAAACCTTGGGACTTATGTTGTTAGATCTTGTTTTGTATGGTATTATGTTTATTTTTGTCCTAAAGCTTTTACCTTTGTGAGTATGGAGTACTCCAGAGCTATTAAGTCGTCCTTTCAGCATTCTAAGACGTTTAAAGTCATAAAAATGTTAGCTTGGCCATTTCCTTTCTTCCATGCAAGAGATATAGGGCTTTAATGAAGTAAAAAGTTAGGGTTTTTGGGTTTTAGCTCCTTGTAGCCATGTAAAGGCTTAAAGTCAGAGACTTTATGGAT